ATATGACAAGGCTGCCGTGGGCTCGGCTCGCCACGTCCTGTAAGGAGCTCTGCCTGGAATGCGGCTCACAGGGCCCGTACCTCACACACAGGAATCGGAGGGGACTGAGAGTCGCCTGTCACCGAAGTGTGCAAGCGTGTGCTTCTAGGCCACGTGGCAAGCCCACATCTGCCCACTCACGTGCAGTTGGCACCAACCCCCTCGGCGTACGGGGGAGGGGCTCCAGCTGGAGCTCTAGCAAGTGCACCGCCACCTCGGCATCGTTACCAGGTAACCACGGCTGTTCCGTTACCAAGGCCCCGCGAGAGCCCAGGGCCGCCTCCTGCCGAGCCCCTCCTGGTCTCCCGTCCCTCTTGAGAAGCTCCTGAAGCCCCACGACCAGGAGTCCTGCTCTGTTCTGCCCCAACTCACTATTTAAAATGATGCCTTTGCAAAAGTCCACATGGCCACTGTGGCACGAGGCCCACGCAAGCTTGCATGAGAATCTTCGCTCTTTATTTGCGGAGTTCTTCCATCAGAGAGGAATGAAAGCCACCAGAGGAATCCTGGGACGCTGGACCACTTTCTCTCATTGCTCCCAGGAGGGTCTCACCATTAAACCCAAGCACTTCCCAAATCACACAGGTTAGCCAACCCCGTCTTACCAAGTCAGTTGGCTGGCATCGGAATCCACGGTCTTGCAGAGAAATGGTGCCCACCCCCTCTGAGCACTGGGCACACCTTCAGTCCTGTGCCAGCTCACTGGACACTGCACACCCCCTCGATACACAGAACAGCAGGGCAGACGGTGTACACCCACCCTGCCGCAGTGAGCAAAGGCGAGGGGAAGGCGGACGCAGAGTACCCGGGAGCCCGCAGTACCTAGACACAGCCCGGGGTCAGCACCCGGTCCCCATGGGAGGGACAACCACAGCATGGGGTAGGTACACTGGGGTAAGGACAAGGGCAAGACGCGACCCCACCAGAGCTGGGGTCTCATTCACACCCGAAACCAACGGGAAGTGCTCACCACAATTTTGCTCTTACTGGTAGATAGCACTCTTTCATCCATTTGAAAATAACAACAAAAAAATTTTTTTCTGGTGAGTGGTGGAGAATGTTTCTTTTTTCTTTTTTGTTCTTTGTTTTCTTTTTTTATGTATTTAGTACAGGGTCTACAAGGTCTCACTACACAGACTGGACTCCTAGTGATCCCTGTTTTCAGCCTCCCAAGTGCTGGGATTACAAGCGTGCGCTACCACGCCCAGTCTTAGTTGCCATCTCAGCACGCCCCAGGGGCGGGGCTAGCACAGCAAGCCTGGGATGGAACCCCGGTCCCTGCATCTGCCTAAGCAAGCACTTTAATCCACTGAGCTATCAGGCTGGCCCTATGTTTCTTTTCTGGTAACAGGCAGGCAGGCTTCACTTGCCAGGCAGGTGCTGAGCTGCAACCCCGGCAAGGGGAGTGTGTTCCTTTCCAAAGCCTTTGAAAGATCTGGAAATGGGGAGAGCAGAAACAATTCAGGCAGCCAGGCACGGTGGTGCACACCTGTAAGCCTACTGGGGCGGCTGAGGCAGAAGGACTATGTGTTTCAGACCAGCCTGGGCAACGTAGTGAGACCCTGTCCCAAAGTAAAACCAGAGAGGGCTGGGGAGTACCCGGTGGCGGCATGCTTGCTGAGCGCACGGGAGTGGCCTGGGTTCAATGTCCAGCATAGCTAGGGAAAAAAAAGCAAATGGAGCAAAACCTCAGGCACCAGGACTGGCTAGTTGAGAAAAACTGGCACCCAGGGCTTGTCCCTGCTCTCTGACACCTTCGGAGACAGGAGCTGAGCTGTGGGCCGCTGCTGTGGGGCTTCACAACCCTCCAGAGGTGGCCCACAGAGGAGTTCCACTTCCTGCAGGTCTCTGGCCTGGCAGCCAGCAGCATGAGGGGGGCCAAAACCCAGGTCTCAGGGCAAACCTAGGACAGCAGACCACAGTGTCCAAACACTCTTTTACACAACAGGGGTCTCAAAACAAATGCAGCAGAACTACAAAGGTCTCCTCCAGGGCCACCTTCAGTGGGGGAGGCTTCCCCTGTGAAAGGCACAGACTCCCAGGACACCACAGTGTCAAAGATGCTAAGTGACGAGGCTATAGAGGCCACACACACACACACACACACACACACACACACACATCTCCAAAGAACCAGCAAGTCAGACTCAGCTATGTCCTAGGCTGGGAAATCCAAAGTGTGACATAATGTCCCTGGCAGAAGAAGCCGCACCAGACAAGCCATGCTGGGGAGAGAAACACACATTTCATACACAGCCCTCCCAAGGGCGCGGAGAGCTTCTCATAGCCGGTTGCTGCCTTCGTCCGTCCCGGGGTGAGGGGTACAGCTCAGCACTCCTGCGTGCGCTGAGCGTGCAAGGCCCTGGCTCAAACTCCATCACACTCGTGTGCACATGCACACACGCACAGAACAAAACAAAAAGTGCTTATTCTAGACTGAAGTTCTGCACCTGTTGTTCCTAGGCAACAGCCTGAGAGGTGACACAGCCCACTCTATACATCAGCAAGGCTGAGATAACAGGAACAGTGCGGGTCTGTCCCTCACACAGAAACGGTGTGTTTTTAAACAGTGGCCATGGGGCCTTTGAAAAATGGACTTGACAGGAAGTCCACAAACACAGAAATAAGTGACCCTCAAATTCCAAAATAAAATAAAAATACAAAAAGCAAGGCCGACCAGATAGCTCAACAGAAGCAGGCACAGCGACCGGGGTGCCATCCCCCGTACCACATGTTGTGCAGGCTCTGTCCCCAGGACTGAGACTGGACTGAGACTGGGGGTGGTGGGGTGCGCCTGTCATCCTAGCATTTGGGAGCTGAAAACAGGAGGATCACTAGGAGTCTGATCTGTGTAGTGAGACCCTATAGTCCCTGTATTAAGTACAGTAAAAAGTAAATAAATAAATAAGCAAAAATCCCATTGGCCACATTCTATACCAGCAAAACAACAAAATTAGGACAAACGTTAAAAATGCCAGGCACTGGGGCCACCAACTGGTCTGCCACCAAGGGGCACCTATTCACACAGAGGACAAACAGAAAGGGGGAGGAAAGTGTGGCATGTTTAAATTTTATTCCAAGTAAAAACTGTCTTAAATTTATTTTAAAAAGGCTATGGAAAGCATTTCTCCATAACCCACAGGTGCTCATAAACAGCGCCAAGAAAAAGCGTGCCACTCACTAATCCCAAAAGAATGGGACACACTGGTGGGGACGCCTCCTTCTGGGCCCCATCTCCCGCCCTGGGCATGGTAAGTGCAGTCGTGGTGTCTCTCCTATCTCCCAGCACAAGGACCAGGGTCACCAGCAGACCCGTGGTGGTCTGTTTGTGCTGGGCACAAGAGGCCTCACAGCTTCCCAATAAACACTGACAGCGTGAACCAATGATGAGGCGATTCACTCTCTAGCTTCACACACAAACACAGATTGGTTAAATAAAGACAGCACTGTACCCAAGCCCTGAGGAATGCTATAGAGTCATTTAAAATGACGAAGCAGAAATAACTCGTTGGGGCTGGGGAGATAGCTCAGTAGAATAAGCGCTTCCCTGGCAAGCGCGAGGGTCTGAGTTCAATCCTCAGTTCTGCCAAAAAAAAAAAAAAGAAAGAAAGAAAGAAAGAAAGAAAGAAAGAAAGAAAGAAAGAAAGAAAGAACTTTGTTTACAGGTGCATGCCTATAATCCAGGCACTCAG